CTTCTTTGAAATCAAAACACGCTTTAAAAACCAAATCAAACCACGTTTCTGCTTCTTTTCTGTGTTAATCGGTTAACTGGAATATCAGAGACACGCTGAAGAATCCAGAAGAAACGTCGATTTAAAAATACCGCGGGTGCGCGCAAAATGCACTTTTCAGAGGTCGTGCAAGGAATACTTAGTTAATCAAGGTGCCACTAATCCGAATTAAGAGGTCTGGATGCGCGCGCACCGGACAAAAGCAGCCCATTCCATTAAAGGATCTAAATGGGGTTGCTTTCCCCCCCTATGGGGGTAGAATAGTTTAAGCGATCTTGCTTAGTTTCTCCCTGTTTTTTTTTTTTTCTTTTCTTTCTTTTCTGATTTTTTAAGGCGGCTTTTCCTTTGTTTTCCGCTTCCCATCATGTGATGGAAGCTAAGCCAAAGGACTGGCAAATCAAGTCCCTACCAATCTGCGGTTGGAGCACATGGATGGATGGGAGAAAGATGGAGAACTTGGAGGGGAAATTGAAGGAAGCGATTTTTTCAAACGGCGTCTGGTCCTGGTACAAAATCAATCAAGCTCTTGATTCTGCCCTTTGCGAAGCAAAGCAATCTGACCCCTATCCCTAAAAAATATAGCCGATTAGGAAGTGATGCATGACTTGGAGAAGGAGGGAGGGAGCACTTTTTTTTCTTCCTCTCCAATATTTACTATTTTTTATTGTGTGTTACAAAACCAAAATTCATATGAAAGAGAAAAAAGAGGAAATAAATTAAAATATTAAAGTTTTTAAAAAACATTTAATAAGATCCCTGACACAAATTACATATACTGTTGGTATTTAGTAAAACATAACTACTGTTCTTAAAATAATTATGCATAAACTTCGACCAAGACAACTCAAATATCCATATTGTTATCCATTTGTATATTATGCCTAAAGAACACTGTGAGAAGTAGACGATTACTGTGACTAACAAACTAGAACAGGTAAAGCTATGGATCACTTAGTGATTAATAAAGGTATTGTGATTAACGGACTAGAACGGGTAAAAAGCTATATAGATCACTTAATGATTAGTAAAGGTATTGTGATTAACACAAACTAATAGACTACAAGATGTAGTCCCTAGATGTGGCATTAAACTTTTGAACTTAGAATCCAAAGTACGGCTGCATAATTAGCTAATGCATATTAGTGGTATCTCCTAGTCTGACTCAGAGGGTTATTAACATGAACATGGGACGTATGAGCAGGTGGGGGTAACATACCAAGGGGCAGTATGATGAAGGCGGACAGAGAAGAGTGTGAATTCCCACTATCCCAGCCAATGGGAGAAAGGAGGCAGGGACTTTGAGCGTGAAGTAGGGAATAAAAGGTTGTGTAAACTGCTCCTCCAGTGCACTGCCTTCGGGGTGAGTGCCTGGTCTGGCCAGAACGTATTAAACTGTTGCTGCCTGGTACTTTGCCTCCCGTATCGTCATTGCTTGGATTTCATTGCTTACAACACCTGTTCAAAAATGGACGTTTTGTTAAATCTTCCACCCATTGTGGTATCGCAGGTGGCTGATTTGTCCTTCCGATGTTATATTATTACATTGCATTTATATCCCACCTTTTTATTAGGCATGAGCTGTCAAAAGGCGGGGAAGACCCATGCATGGAAGCACACTAAAAGTTTTAACTGACTGTCCTAAGTTACTAGCAGTAGGAGCTTTAAGGTAAAATAGGTGGGTATTTTTGGTTTTTCCCCACCCACCACAATGGAATTTCTGGAAGACGTTCTTTACTATGTCCTAAGTGTTCATTGGGCAGTAGGAGTTGTTAGCTGTATTGGACCCATCATTGTGTGAGCCTCCAAGAGTCATTGACCTGGTTTGCACAAACCGTATTGAACCACAAGTTGCCATGCATGAGTGGGAGTAGACAAACTTGCCTCCAAGGCAAGGCTCATTTCCAGTTTCTGTAATCAACTTCTTTTTGCGGGGCTGTGAGCATGACATGCAAACCTGGAACACTGGATTGGTCAAAGAACGAAGCAATAAAGCCATGGTTATGAAATTAATTCTCCATTACAAGCAAAGTGGGCCAGTGTTTCCCCATTTACAGCTTTGGAGCCGTGCCAGATTAAAAAATGGTGGCAAACTATCCAAGGAAGTTTGAGGAAGTGCGCTTTCCTTGGGGGAAAATTTGGGTTTGCATACCACCAGGGCATGGGGTTAGAGGTGGAAGTAGGCCCAGTGAAATGTCTACTATGGGTTGAATTGCCAAATCTCTTTAGATTCTCTGTGCTATTTCCTTCTGGGTCCTCTGATGAGGCTTGGAAATACCTGGTTTCCTTGCTGCTTGTATTTAATTGGCTGCTTAAGATTCTCCTCTTTGTGACAAATTAAGGACTGATGGAACTGTAGTTTCTCTTCATGTACCCTCCTTTTGTGGTCTCTCAGCTGAGTACTTTCCAGTTTCCAATATTTCACCCCTTCTAGGAATGTTTTCAATGGCTTGCCCAGTGAAATACAACTCTTCACTGTGTTGAGTTCCCATACTTTTGACTCTACATAGACACTATACCATCTGCCAAAATATGCATGCTCTGCTCTTGTTCATTTGATGAATATCATAGAAACATAGAAACAAAGCGAGTCAGAAGGGGTCTCCCAGGCCATCTAGTCTGACCTCCGGCACCAGCCGGCTCCGCTCATGACATGCCCACCATGTGCACACCCAGCCTATCCTTGAACACCCGCACCGATGGGGCCTCAACGACCTCTCGTGGAAGCCCATTCCACACCCTCGGGGTCCTGACTGTCAGGAAGTGCTTCCTGGCATCCAAACGAAACCTTGGATCCCTGAGCTTTGCTCTGTTGGAGCGTGTTCTGCCTTCCTCTGCAGGGAAGAACAGGTCTCTACCCATCTCCATGTAACATCCCCTCACATACCTGTATGTCGCCAACATAACAACCTGCTTCACACATTAACAACCCAGGGATGTTGAAATGTGAGTTGCTGTCACATGTGAACCTTGCACTATGGTTTAACTATGGGTTGTTAACACAAGAGTTCATAACTCAACAACAAAATATGGGTTCTGTTCCTCAGTTGTTCATGCTTAAAAGCCCATAGGTAAACTATAGCACGGGGTTCAAATGTGTAACAAAAACAAATAATCTGGGCAGAGGCAGCAAGATCATCTGGAGAAAGAGCCAGGAGATAGGAATCTCCAGGAGTGGTGCTAGGCCTGGACCCATGAGCTCTTGCCCCAAATGTAATTTGCATGGCCCTAGATCTACTCCCAGGGCCTAGCAGGTTCAGTGGGGAAGGAAGTGCCTACTCACCACTCCCATTCTCTCCCTGCATGGTAATTAATCTCAGACGGAAAACATTCAATTGGTCTGGGATGAACTGAAGCAGGGTATAATTTAATTGAAGGATTTTATAGTTGAGGGATTTGGGTAAGAAATTAATTGGCAGGTTTTGCCTCCTGTAAAACTGATGCATGTCCCAAGCGAGTATGGTTCAAATGCACCTGCTGAGCAGGACTGTCCAACCACAGTACTCACACATGTCAACATTATGCAAGGAGCAGAGAACCGAATAAGCAAATAAGAGAACCGAATAAGCTGACATAAGAAAACGGGGGAAATGCTATTAACAAAGACAGTTTTATTTTGAAGAAAGAAACAGGAAAAAATGCCAGAAATAATTGCAAAAGCAACAACTCAACCCCTTTACCCAAGTCATATATATTCATTTGAAAACTGTCTTCTCCAAATCAGGCTTTGGAATCTCAGAATGATAATTTCAGCTGTGATCTTCTGCAGTGCCTGAGGCACCTACAGGACTCCCCACCTGAGCAGGGATTCTCCCTTTAGGATCAAGGCCGAGCCTTTTCAGACCTCCAAGTCCACCACACAGATCTGTTTCCTGCATGCTTCCCCCAGGTTGCCTAATACACTGCCTTCCATGCTCAGGACTCAAGTCTTGTGCTGGGATGAAAAAGAGATATTGCTAAGCATTGCGTAGAAGGGGAAAAACACACCACTGCTTATCCCGCTGTTGCCTCTGGTCCAACAGGTTTTGCAGACTTTGCGACAAAGCAGAAGCTGGCAAAGCCTGTTTACCACAGTGGAAAATACTATTGATTTTCTTCAGCTTCTTGCAATATTTTCAAATGTTTAAAAAAGCCCACTTAAAGCATTTCACAGAAGTAGCATAAATACAGCATAGTTCCATCTGATAATTTCAGCTTAAGAGCTTGCTTAAATTTTTACTTGGGGAGCAATCCTATGAAGAGGAGCATCAGCCCTACCTCTGCCTCCCGGATTCTCAGCCCTGCATTTTTGTAAGGTGGTCGCTTCTGGCCATTTAGCAACAGCATCTTGAAAGGGAAGGGAAGGCAGCTGGAGCAGTTTCAGGATGCCTTGTATTCTGGCCTTCCTCCTTCTCCAGGGTCTGGAGAGGTCCTGCCATGAGGGACCTCTTATGAGATGTTGTCTACAGGCTACCGGCTTGCTCCTGTACCTGTTTCTGTACTTTCATTTCATGGAATGTCCTTCTTTTGTTATTTCCCCCCTTTTTCTTTTCTCCTCTTAAATTATTTTTGAACAGCTCTTAATAAAAAAAAACTTGTTTAAAAAAGGGCTGCTGAATTCTCACCTGATGTCTCCAAAAGGCACATAGATCTGTTCTCGGGAACATATAGGATGCTTACAAGCAACACTCCTGTGCACTTCTACTCAAAGTAAGTTCAGTGGGACTTGCTCTCAGTAAGTGTATGTGGGATTGTGGCCAATATACATTTAAGCAGGAAAAGAGAACCCACCAACTTACTCAAATGTACAAGCTTTATTTTTATTTATTTATTTATTAAAACATATGTATGCCGCCCCATTCGCCGAAGCTTGATTTGACAAAGGAAAGAAAGGGAGTAAAATGGAGGCAGAGAAAAAAGCAGAAGAATCTGACATTATTTCAGTATGTACCTAGGCTTGACATCTCTATGACAAGAGGATTTAGAGCATGGGTCCTCAAACTGCGGCCCGCGGGACGGATCTGGCCTGCCGTGGCCGTCCATCTGGCCCGCACCGCTGTGCGCTTGCTGCGCAGGCGGGGAGGCGGGGGCTTGCTCACTTGGAGATGGTCTCCGAGTGAGCAAGCCGCCACCGCCTGCTCCCGTATGTGCGCGCTTGCCACTGCCTCGCAGTGTGGGTGGGGAAGTGGTGGCTTGCTCGCTCGGGGATGGCTTTGAACCCATGGGAGATCTCCGAGCGACCGAGCCACCGCCATGTGTGCCCAATGCCGCCTCACCGGCCCGCGCCCCCAGGCACCCCCACCTCCCCGCCCGCAACAGTCACCGCAGCCTTTCAACTGGCCCCCCATTGAAAAAGTTTGAGGACCGCTGATTTGGAGGGCTGTCCAAGGGCTTCAAGGAAAAGTTGGTTTTTCAGGAGGGATATAAGGGAAGGGAGGGGGGAGTTTTTAAAAGCCATAAGGAACAGCAAAGGAGAAAGGAAGTTTTAAAATTCCCTTGGACAGCTGAGGTTGGTGGGCATTGGGCAATCTCCTATTTTGTCTTACACTTCCTCCTTTTTTCTTTATGCAAGAACCCCTCTCCCTAACCATGTAATTTGACCTGATGAAACTCTTAAGAGGTCACAGCCAGATCATTGAGCAGCTTTACTCATGCTTAGCCTTCACCAGTACAACTGTGCTCCGTGTTTCTAGATCACCCACCAGGCCTTTTGTATGGGTTTCCTGATACACAGTTAGACTATGTGTTTCTTTGGCTCAGCACATTTCAGTGATTTCCCCCTTCAACTGGACTTAATAGCTTTTCTGCTCAATTGATCACTTCCATGCACTCACACGGTCTTTCTCCCATGCGCATTCTTTGATGGACTGGAAGGGCTGACTTTGTGTGCTCTTCTTTTATGAAGTACAAGGGTAGAGCTCTGCCGGAAGCTTTTCCCACACTCGTGACACTTAAAGTGTTTCTCCCCCGTGTGGATATGGTGATGGCCTAGAAGAGCGCCACTGGTAACAAAGCTTTTCCCACACTCCATGCATTTAAATGGTCTCTCTCCTGTGTGGATTCTCTGGTGGACTGTAAGGGCTGACTTGGATCGGAAACGTTTGCTACAATCTGGACACTGGTACGGCTTCTCCCCTGTGTGGATATTTTGGTGGAGGTGAAGCGATGAGTGTGTAAGGAATGTTTTCCCACATTCCCAGCATACATGTGGTCTCTCGCCAGCATGACTCTTCTGATGTTGCCGAAGGTGTGAAGGGTTGCTATAACTTTTTCCACATTCAGAACAATTATAGGATCCCTGATGGAACTTTTCATGCTCAATACACAGTCTTTTCCATGCAAAATCCTTCCCACAGAAAGAGCATTTGTATGGTTTCTCTCCAGTATGGAGTCTCTCATGATGCACAAGGTTGACTTTTTCACTGAAGTTCTTTCCGCAGTGTGAACAGGTGAATGGCTTCTCTCCTGTATGCATTTTCTCATGTCGATTAAGTTTAGGCTTGCTTACAAAGCCTTTCCCACATTCTGAGCAACGATATGGCTTCTCTCCCGTGTGACTTCTCTCATGTACAACAAAGTTTGATCTACGATCAAAGCTTTTCCCACAGTGTGAGCACTTAATTAGTTTCTCACCTGTGTGTTTTCTTTTATGTATTTCAAGGGCTGAGCTTTGGCTGAAGCTTTTCTCACAGTCTGAGCATTTGTATTTATGTGTATTCTGATGTTGCCTAAAGCTGTATTTGTACTTGACACATTTGCCACACTCCAGGCATTTATATGGCCTCTCTTCCTTATGGGTTATCCTATGCATTGTAAGGCTACTGCTACTGCTGAAGCTTTTCCCACAGTCAGCACATGAATAAGGCTTCTCACCTGT